TAAGCTATTAAAATCACGTTACGGATCATATGATTTACTATGTTCGTAACTCGATTTTAATAGCAAACCTCCCATATTATTTTGCAAATTTTATGAAATTTATATTGTATTTGAGTATTTTAGTCAGCTATTTACTTAATATCTTTCTATTATAATATAATGAGTGATAAATAGAATTTTTAGCAATAATAATTTTTTAAGTTCACTGATTAATTATTAAAAATAAGAAATAGAGAAGTATAATACATTATGATAAATAAATTATAATTTTAAATCTAATCCTAATAGATTCTAATTTTATATCTAAATATAACTCTAAATAATTCTAATTTTATAGGTAGATTAAACTTTATATATGATCACCTAAGTGAAAATTAGTTTTAATCTATAATAATAATATTATTTTTTAAATAATTTATATTTTTAAATTTTTTTATCTAAATATAAAAAATTTATTTATTTATTATAAATTAAAAAATTAAATATAAAATTATTAAATTATTAAATTATTAATTTATATTCAGATATATAATATTTATTTAATTATATAAGATTATATACAATATATTTTTTTTTATATAATACATAACACCTAAAGATTAATAAATTTAATTATTTTTAAAAAAATATAAAAATAATATAAAGATAATATCAAAAAAAATTACTATTTTAAAGTCAAATTAATTTATTATATATTTTAACCTTCTTTTTTAAAAATAATTATTTATACTTGATTTATATCAACTTAAAAATACCTAAGTTTTCATACAATTAATATCTAGTAAAACAAGTATATAACTTAAAATTAGCCAATCAAATTACATATAAAATTTTATTAATTAATAAAATCAAATATTATTAGAAGTTAAATAATCTTTTTATATTATAAAATACCATAAAAAAAAATTTTACTTGACTATAAGAATATAATAAGAGAAAATGAATTTAAATAATAGCTGTGAAAAAATTAAAGCTAGTGAATAAGTAATGCAATTAGTTTATATTATTTCAAACTTTAAAGATAAGCATTGCAATTAAAAAAATAAAGTAATTGAGTTGCAACTTATAATGTAATTAAATTTTCTTATAGGATAATTAAGTTGTAATTCAATTGAAATTTGAAAATAATTATGAGAACCATTTTTATTAAAGTCATATATTATTAAATAGATTCAGTTTTTAATCAAATTTTAAAATCTTTTTCAATTTCATATCGTAATAAGCATCAAAATTAATGATGCCTGCTTAAATTATTTTTATTATGACTAAACTTTCGTCAAATTTATGTTTAACTAAACTTTTGACTAAAGTCTAAATCATTGACTAAACTTTTAGCAAATGACTAAATGACTAAATGAACCATATAGCATATACTAAAGATGCTTTTGTTGCAACAAGGATGAATAGGTCCTAGAGAAAAACAATTGGTTATAAGGTTAACATCTTTTATTAATAATGATGAACAAGAGATACTCAGCAAATGGTATTTCAGAAATTATGCTAATTCTGCCTTATGAGAAAAACCAAAAGGACCATTATGCATTTTCTATTTGAAGTTCAATTGCAAACTTAATTTTATCGAAATGTATTGGGGTGCAGAAGTGTTTTATAAGAAATCACTGTGATTACACATGGAATGGCTTGCAAGAAACTATTCTGAAAGCACTTGATTAATAAATATTACTACAATTAGAAAGTATGCCTGGAGATACATGCAATTGTATCATGAAGGATTAACAGGAAAGTTAGCTAAATATGCATGTAAAAAATTTAAATCATACAGGCGGATTCCGCAAGATGATTTAAATACATTTATAAAAGAAATAGTTGTGAATAATATAGGAATTATTAAAAAATATAACATGCTTAAATCATTTAAATTTATCAATAAATCATGCATTATACTTAATTTTATTGATGTTTCGCTTAACACGTGGCATAACTTATATTGGTCTCGTGATTTTCAAAATCTCGGAAATAGGGACAAATCACGTGATTTCAGTCTTTAAGAGTCGCGCACTGTATTTATTTATACATATCTCCTAATTGATAAGTTCATCGCTGAACAGATTCTTTTCTTATTGTAGAATCCGATCGCTAAAAGCTTATATACCTTGGCGGAATCGCTCGATATAGAATTGTCTTCTTACCGGAAGAAAATAATTGTAATCCGATCAAATCAGCCTTTCACTGAAGTTAAAGTTTGAAACGGATTGGCAAAAAGTTTGTGATTTTATACATATTTATAAACATAATTTCGACAACAAACTTATGCTATTTTTTTTATTCTAGGTTGAGGAGAAGAATCCCATCCCATCCCAAATTCTATACTATATTTAAAATCCCATATCCCATATCATTGCTGCACAAATGAAACTTTATCCCTTTATGTTGGCGGAGATGACCTATAAAAACAACTAGAATTTTTTTGAAAATTGGGTTGAAGGTATGTTTTCATTCGTCTTTGTCGTTAACAGTGTCAATATTTTTTCTCATATTTAAACAATTTTTTTTTTTTGGTAATTTTGATACCGACATTTTATATAAAAAAGAATTCTATAGCTTTATTGTAATAAATAAGAATTGATTTTTAATTAAAACTTTTGAGCCACGCATTTATGATCTAGTTTTATATTTATAAGTTAGTCGCTTGAAAATCAGCTTTTCAAAATTGCTTCGCTCAACCCTTTAACTTCTTTCTATTTTTAGTTTGATTCCTCAATCTTAATCTCTAAAGTTATTATTTACTGTTGTAATAAACAACGATGAGAGCTAAGATGAATAAAGAAAATTTTCATGTGTTTCTAGCATGCAATTACTGCGCCACCTTTGTTACGCTTTATTTTTGAACGTGTGTATGCGGATTCAGAATAGTTTATTTAATACATTACTCGGAAAATTTGAAACCATATGGTTCTGCTTCCACAATATATAAATATAGCAAAAGAAGTGACGGCAAAAAATATTGGAGACGAAAGATCTGGACAAGGCCAATTAAGGTATGAATAATTTTTTTGATGGCTGTGCATATGCAATGAAGCAACTTTAGAGCTTTCAAACTTGTATCCGATTTTTCGTTCCAGTATTCCGAGTCGTTTTAAAATTATGAAAATATGCAATAAGGTATTCACAATTTTGAAGATTATGACATTAAATGAAAAAAAAAAAAGGCTCTTTTTAATTCAATTCTTAAAGCAACAAAAGAGCAAATATTCAGGTTCTTATTTAGAGATAAATTTAATTAAAAGATCTACATAAAAATATTGACTTTTGATTCTAAAAAAATCTCTTTTAATTCTTTAGTAGCATTAGAACTTTAATATGCAGATTCTTTAATAAAAGTTGTTTGGAATAAAACCAATAATTTTTTTTTTTATCGCAAGTTCTTTTTATTGATTATGTCCGATATTTGTTAAAGAATTTGTTTTTACACATATTTGTAGGCTGTGTGTAGTGTGGTGAACTGTGCATCGAAAAAAAGTTTAGTTTGATAATGCACTAAGCAATCATTTTACTGCGCCTTGAGACAGCAAAGTTAATCCATTTATTTTTAAGAGCCTTATTCTTTGAATTTAGAACTTGTATGCGATGAAAATCAAAAAAAAAAAAAGAATTTATTTATCTAAAACACCTTAAGAGAAACAAAAAACCCACGATCTCAAAATCAATTTCAATGCATGAAAACGGTACAAGATTAATTAATTACATCATTTTTAGAAAAACTCATCATCGTTATTAAACGAAGCATGAGCTAACCTGAACTGGCTTCTTTTTTTTAAAAAAAAAAAAAAAATTCTAAAAGCGATATACTGTCCGAAACTTTCCTTAATCGTTACATTAACTTTTTCAAAACTTTTCTCAAAAATATTGAAGGTAAAAAAAAAAATTATTTAATGTTAAAGAATACATAAAAAAAACTATAGTTTGTGTAGCATAGTCTTTGGCTCAATGGTCTAGTAGTATGATTCTCCGTTCGGGTCGGAGAGGTCCCGGGTTCAATTCCCGGTTGAGCCCGATTACCACTCTATTTTTTTTCTTGAAAATATTAAAATTTGGAAATAAATCGGATTTTCCTTAACTTTATTCCTCTTTCATTAAAGAAATGAATTTTGGTTTTACTTTCAATTCTTTCGAATTTTGAAATCAATCTACATGTTAAATTACAACAGAGGAGTATGTCAATTTTGATATAAAACTATTGAAAGATTACAAATAGAATCATATTATAAAAGTTGCAAGAAAAATTACGTTGTGTAAATCATTTAATTTTTTCGTCCAAAAATTGTAGTTACTTTTCTTGGTGAGTTGTAAACTTTTTTAATGTCTATTGTTTTTTAAAAAAAAAATGATAATATATATACGTCTTACGAAAAAAAACGCGAGTTTAAAAAAAAAATAAAAATAAAAATAAAAAAAAAAAAAAAAATTTATAATTTATCAATCATTTCATATCGATATTACTGTATCTGTAACACATTAAATTAGCACATTTTTTCCTAATGAAGATTATTATTGTTACAAATGCATAACCGTTTTCGTTATTTTCTTTTATTAGTTTTATCATTTATCTTTTTCACATAAAAATGGCACATAGTTTTTTGCATTCACAAAACAGATCTTCAAATAAAAAATACAAATTTTACAAATTTCAATATGAAACTTCGTCAAATATCACATCATTTAATGGGTATTTAAATCCGTCGTGGAATTATTCCATTATATCTTTAAGAAGATTAATGGACCATGGAGTAGATGTAACTAGATTAAAATTTAAACCAATAACAAGCTATACTATTACAAGAGATAATAAATTGGAGAATATTGTTGGTATTTGTGAATTATCGATTTCATTTGAGACCAATGGTGGTCGAGGGAGAAATGATGGAGGATCTATTTATTCGTTTAATCATGAAAAAGTTGAAAAGAATATAAGAGAAGTTTTGGTATTGAAAGATTCTAATGTGGAATTTGGATTAGGAAATGATTTTATTATGGATTATAATATTAATATTGAACCTAATAATAAAGGGGAGTTTACTCATCAATTGAGTTTTGGAGATGGTGTTACTGTGGGTTTAAGAGAGATTGAATTTGATGGTAAGTCTTGTGAATATTTAAAGCTATGATGTATATATGTAATTATTTATTTATTAAAAGAAACTTAACTTTCGAATTTTATTTTTTTATTTTTTTAATCTAGGAGAACGTGACGAGGAAATGAGTGATGAGGATGTTGTAAATGAGAATAATAATACTGATGATAAGATCGAAGAGAAATCAAAGCACAGATTTAAAAATTCATTGTTCAAATTGATTTCTCGAATAGGATTATCTAATCTTTTCATGCTATTTCTAATTTCGACAATTTTAATTTTATATAATTCTGATACTAAGGTAAACGAGATCTTTTTTGGTATTAGAAACTTTATGATTTTTTTTTTTCTTTACTAACATTTATTAATGTGAAATTATAAACTTTTATTAGTCTCAATCATTGGTTGAGGAATTACTTATTATACCTTGTATGTTAAATTTATTTAAATTCTATTCTGCGTTCAACATCATACTAAAGTTTTGTTTTTTTTAAAAAATAATTCGCTGCCATAAAGATAAATTGCCTGAACCCGGGATACAAAATCAACTTGAAAGCTATGTAAGAAAATTAAAAACCACAACATCATTTCTTGAATTATATGAACTAAATCAACATCAAAATCCGAGAACCTCGTCAAATGATATATCAACAACACAAAAAGAAGATGATAAACGAGGACAAGAGTTATACACGTACCTAGTAGAATTTACGAAAAGCATAGATAATACATCAAGAACATTACTGGATATGTATTATCAAGAATCATCATACTTTTGGATATTTCAGCAAAATATTAAAAGATTGTTAAATTACTTTCCCTTTAAAAAGGGTTCAACTTTTCTTTGGAATGTACTTATTACAGGAAGTGATTATTTTCCATTAACAAACAATTTTGACGATTTAATTAATGATATTGATGACGTTATTATTAATAATATTGATTTAGTAATGAGAGAAGTGGACAAAGCACAAGATTACCATGATGAGATTATTCTTCAAGTAGTAAAAATGAAAATCGAATTAGAAAAATTTATTAAAGATAGTAGTAAACCATTTTCTTCTTGGTTAAATGCTTTAATAAGATTTGGTAGAATAAAAGGTGGAAAAATTGATAATTTAGGCGAAGTAGATTATAATACGGCTTTAAAGGTTGAAAAATTATTAATAGCTTTATTTACCGATTTAATTGAAATCTCGACTTATTTCACAGATTTAAAAGTTTATTTGGATAATCATTTAAATGATTTATTGTTATTTTCAGAACATTTTAGAATAACTAAAATTACAAAGAAAATAACTAGATCTGAAATTAATGTAATTAAAAAACATTTAGATAAATTACAAAATAATCATAAAGCTATATTTGATACCATTTTGGTGATGGAGGATAATGATAATAAACCTTGGGTTGGATGTAGAATTAAAAAGAAACTTAATCAAAGTATATTTGAATGTAATAATTAAAAAAGAAAACAAATTTTTAGAAATAATAAATAGAATTTATAGAATTTATATATCCATTTAATCTAATTATATATTTTAAGTATTTTTATATTAAAAATTTTTTTCTTTATTTTTTTTCATATAAAATTTATACATTTAACAAAATAGGAATTTACATTTTTCATGACATATCAGATATATAAAATTTAATAATTTTATTAGATTTTTTATATTAAAATTTATAAGTTAAAGATATGATATTTTATAATAATTTTTATTATTAATATAATATATATATATATAACAAAAATTGAATTTTTATAGATTTAATTTAATTTTTTTTTTTTTTATAATTTGTATTTAATAAATAAATAATTTTATAAATAAATTTTTTTTTTAAATATTATTTATATTAATATTTTAATAAATTACAACAATATTTTTAATAATTCTAAAGTTTAATATGAAAAAAATTTTTATAATATTTAATATATTATTAATAAAGAAAAAAAAATATTAATATAATAAGTAATATCATAAGATATTTAATAAAATTGATAATCTTTAAATGTTAATAAAAAATTATTAAGAAATTATTTTTAAATAAACTCAACAGTAATCAATACTTCTTAATAAAATCTATTTAATTATATTAAAATATAAAATCAGATTGTTGTATTAAAATATATAAGCTTTTAAAATATAAAAATTTTTTATATCTATTTCTGATTTATTCATATAATTTTACCCTTGCATTATATATTTATACCTAGAATTATATGTGTAATATAATAAATTTATATAAATATAATAAGTTTTATAAAAAAAAATTTTAATATTAAACTTATATTACATTTGATTTTAGTTAAAATAAATAATTTTTAACTTCATAATACTAATGTAATATTAATTTATAATCAAACAATATCAAGAGTAAAAAAGAGGTTTTATACTTATAAAAAATAAGTTACAAAAGCAAAATCCTTTTAATATTTATAATTTTAACCTTTTTTTAGTCTTTTAAAAATACAAATAATAATAGAGGATATAATTCTTCTAATAATGAAAATTTAAATGCAGAATTTAAATTATAAAAGGATATTTTAATAAAAAAAAAATTTTATTTTAAATTTTAGTTAAAAGTTTTAAAATATTTAAGTATTCATTTATATATAATCAGATCTCTATATAGTCACACTATATATAGTCATACCTTTATATAAGAACTTATTTTTGTAGAATGAATTTAAAGCTTATTAAATTACCTCTATATAATTATAAATCAATTATAGTCACTATAATCTCGTGATCTATAATATGCATATTATTTTTATTAGTAATTAGACCTTTTTATAGTCATAGATTTCTGATTAGCTTATATTAAAGAGATTTGATTAATTGCAGATCAAAAAAGTTTGATATAAAGCTTTAATTTTAAAATGTAATACAAGAAAAAATGTGTTACATAACATATTTAAAGTGGGAAAAATTAATAACATAATCATTTTCATTCTGCAATGATAGTTTTTTTCCTATATTATTTATATCAATAAAAAGAGTAATGTTTAAAATGCTAATATGCTTTTATTAGAAATATCAAGTGGTTAAAATATTATTAATTCTTTTAAAACTCCCTTTTTAAAATTATTTCTGAATACCTCTTATTATTTATGACAAACCTCTTCTAACAAATTTACATCCTTACTATTCTAACTCAAGTAGTGATTCATAATGATATTACTATTATCATTATTAATTATCCTTCCTAATTTTTAAATATTATAATGCCTTCTGACTAACCCAAACAATACCATTCAGCCATAAGCATTAGTTTCAAATATCAAATTTGTGAATGGTCAAAAAATAATAAAAATAAAAAACACAAAGAAATTGCTGATCATTTAATGAAAAAAATCTAACTTTAAACATTGTCAGCGTTGAAAATTTGCCCTAAAAAAATGATTTACAAAATCATTAGATTTAATTTTATATAGATCATATTAAGGAAGATCTTGATCAACGTATTGCATTAATTTGGAGAATTTGCAAAATTCACCTGATTTGCCTATTTTTTCTATATTTTCTATACAGCCTGTTTATTCTGTTTATTCTGTTTCGCCTGTAATTTCTTTAACGTCTGTAATT